CAGACATGTCACCTTTAAATACTAAACTAATACACTTAACAAATTGGAAATCAGACTACCACACACCCACTATATTCCTCTCAAAGTTTGAAATAGAAGAAGTGTTCAGCAATCTGATAAAAGGAAGAAAAGAGGGGCGAGGGGTGGTGCAAGAAGCATGGGGACACTCCCTTTCTTTCAAGATGAATGGACTTACACTTAAGAGTTCATCAATTAATAACTTCAGTGCTGATAGCTCAGTGTTGCTCCAAAAACTCAGTACATAAATAAATATTATATGTCCAAAACCAAAAGTAAGACACACTTGTGCTCTCTATTCTACAGAGACGCACTTTAGGTCCTTCCCAAAGAATGAGTTGACTGCAATTTCGATAAAATCTTCCTCGGAAAAGAAAGCAGCATTGTGCTTTGAAGTGTTTGAACAACCCATTCAAAAAAACTAAGGTGAATATCGCCTTAACAATAGAGCTTTTATTTGAACGTTGGGAAACACAATTTAACATAAGAAATTGTCCTGACCTAGAAAGAATAAGAACAATAGTGCTTATGTTATTGCTATAGAGAGATACACCCCACGCATGAGCATAAGTTAGAACTAGTGTTTTGTAACTCGTTGTGTCTAACTTAGACTTGAGAGTACTAACCTTAGCAATCAACCGAATCTCACTGGTTCCAAGGCTCCTTTGTTAGATTTTTTAGTACTCTGTCAAATCGGACTTGGCTCCACTTGGTCTGATACACTAATTCACACTTAGCCCTGCCAGGTTCCAAGCTCGAGTCCCAGTCGAAAAAAAAAACTTGATACAACCTAAGATATAGAACACATAAGTAATAATGTCCATTGTAAATATTACCAGCGAAATGATAAATCCCAGCATGGAAATCCATGAGGGACCATTAATTTTGAATGTGAACTCAAGCACACTACCGAAGGATGAAGGATGAAGGCCTCAAGAATGTGTATGGCGATTCCCAAGGCAAGTTTGTTTTTCGAGTGACAATGCTACAAATAAAAAGGTTCTCACAACCAAGCTCGTGTATAACATTTTCTCGAAGGTTTTCCAGTCTCCCCTCACTAAAATAAATGCCCGTTGAGGTAAAATGGGCTAAAACAGGAAAGTGAAATATTTGGGTCCAACAGTAAACAACAATACTTTTAAATCTATATTGCAGAGCAAAAGCTCCATTACAACAGCAACACTAAAGAACTCTCTCAATGTATGCATGATCTAAGTGAACTTTCATTCAAAATGAATGTGCTTATGATCTCTAAAGTGTAACTATACTTGGCACTAGGTATTTGAATTCCTTAGGAAGTTGTTCCACAAAAACCTATATTTTTTTAGAATGTTAATTGATGCATTGACTATAAGGAGAGTACAAAAAGTCGGCCACCCACAATGCGGGTGTTTGAAAGAAGAAACCCTAACAGGAACAAAACTATACAAACATTACACGCTGACCATAAGGTCAAAAGGAAAACAAACAAAACGAGGAGATAGCTCTTAGAGGCTGGTCACAGAATTCCCAGAGGGATGGAGCCTTGGGCCCTTGCTTAGCGAGGGAACCTTCAAGGGAGTTTACCTCCCTCCAAGTATGCCTCCAGACAGTTTGAAGTTCAGTGCATCGGTGGGAAATCTCGTCAAAAATGTGATCAAAAGCTGATCTAGAAGCCCAAGTACTGACATTTGTAGAGTCTCCTTCAATGATCAAAATATTACCCCATTCGCTATTGAAGTATTTGAGGCCAACAAGTAAGGCCACTTATAATGCGCATACAAATCCTTAAAATTAACATTAGTGTTTATGAAATATAGCTTAAGAATGTCAATTAGTTTCCTTTTATAGTCAGCACAAAAACACCTAGTCAGCAATATATGACATTACTACACTATGAAAGCAATAAAACCATGCCAATAATACTGAAAGAGAAAGATTAACAAAAATTATCAAGAAACATTCACCAATGAAAGGAGTACACCTAAGAAACACTCAAACCTAATCAAACGATATATTAAAATAAACTAGAACACGTTCTATAAAACAATCTATAAAGATGTCATTTTGTTTTCATTTGCATTTAGTAGTTATTGCACAAAACTGCACTAAAACATGAGCATGTTGAACAACTGAAAAGTGAATTCATTCAATGGTGCCCTATGCGATAGCTATGTGCACACGAATCTTGTATTATCCTCCTTGAATGGGTTCACAGTGTCGGTATAGTGTCTTGCCTCAACAATGGCATTATGGCTTATTAGGCCACTTGACCCAGACCCTGAACTGAACCAGCTCTTTCTAACTAAGTTCTGAAACCTCCCCGCTCCATACTTGAGAAGTTGCAGTTTGGGTAATCCCATCTTTTTCAGATTTCAAACCTGAAGAATTCAAGAGAAGAGATTGTAATAATAATAATAATAGCAACCTTAACTTTAACATAGAGAATAAAAATGCCCAGATTCTCCTGTTAATCCTAATGATCTATAAAACAGAGAGAACCCAAACCAATTTTCCCAAAAATACACTGCCTCAATTACAGAAAGCTAGAAAGAAGAAAGATTGTAGGTAGAGAGAGACCAACCGGAGTTTATTTTTTTTATATACAAAATAGAGACTGATTTCCTCACATCGTTTTCAAACAATTTCAGAAGATTGAGCAATGTGTCTTGCAAATTCAAGAGGATTCAGAAACTATTCGAAGCAAGAAAAAAATGGAAAAGATAAAAAATGGGGAATAAATAACAATAAAACACGAATCAAATGACAATTAAAAATAAACATTGCACACATCCTACTCCCCAATAATGTTAATATCACACACTAAACCCCAACACTGTTTGTTTTTATATTTAACCCCCTAATCAAACAGTCAAAAAAAATTAGACTAAATGGCCGTTTTATTCTCTCTACCCGCCCTCTCTTTCTCTCTCTACGAGCTGGAAATCTAACACTTTATTCTTCACTCCTCTCTATGTACACACGTGGAGGATATTTTACTCTCTCTCTCTC